AATAATCGATTGCTATATGTGGTATTTTTTTTCAGGGTAGCCCTGGTACGCTTGGATCTATCGATCATCCCTAGATCCTGCTCTTCTTCTTTCCGGGAATTCTCGTTAAACGATTTTTATTAGAACTTTACGCGGCGATGAAATAACTCTGTTGGAAACTAAAGTGAAATTTAATAGTGCAGCAGTATTCCCGGCATAATTAGTTCTTGCCACGCAATTTTCATATTCAGCTTAATGAATTTACGGTCTTTGCTACAGAGAAGCACAGTGTTTGGTTTACTTTTTAAAGTTTCTGGTAAGTTTTTAAACATTTTTCCCTTTATTACACTATTACTTGGATAAGGGAAACTATGCCCCTGAGAAAGGTCCAATTAGGCTAAAGTTATTGGCAATTAACTCTTTTTTGTACAAATTATCTTTGTGCCAAATAATCCCTATTGGAGTTTTGCCGCCAAAAAGTTTTGTAGACGCTATTACCTTTAAACCATGATCGTGCTCACCTGTTAACCCTTACTGTGCCAAAGTCTGGATTATATAATTATGTTTTTTAAGCATTTAGTGTTTGTATACAAAAAAAGTCACACTTTTTTGTGATTATCCCTAAACTTTCGCTGAATCTTTTGTTTAAAAGTTTTGCTTTCTTTGCTGCAGAATTTCCCAGAAGTGGAAAGTAAATTAGCAGAAAGCGCGTTTCAAAATAAGAATTAAAGACTAAAACTAAAAGTTTGTGCAAGAAGACAAAAGGAAACACCAAATTAGTTCCAGAAAATTGAATTACTTGTGAAGTAAGCTCTGTGTGTGTTTCCCGCGCTTTTAGGTTTTCTATGAAATATTTGGTTCAAGTTGGCGGGCTTTCAGAATAAGTTTGTGTATTTTTCACACTTTAGGCATGAATTCGCTTAACCCTTGGCATCTCTTTATTTGCACTTCACATATCGCTCTCGTTTCGAAGGATTTGTGGTTTCCTGGAGTATTTGCCACTTCAGGTTCAGGTTCTCAACTAAACATCGCACTTTTGCCCTTAAATATTTCATAAAAATCCGTTCTTTATGAGCTGAGAATCTGTGCTTCGACGGGCTGCTGTGCTGCAGGGAAATTAATTAAAAACGCCCACATCTCGGCGATAAATCAGACGACAACGGCAACAACAACCGCAAAGACCGAGGGCCAGCCAGCAGTCACACACACACGCACACTCGAACGCACACCCATCTGGCAACACATCCTTGTGGCACCACCCCCTGGGCCCCCACTTTACGGTCAGCCCTTTGCCCGCGTGTTTGCTTAAGTGCCACTAATAATCCATTGTTGGCTTTTGTCCTTGTCGCTGTTGTTGCAGCTGCCGCTCAGACATGCCCCTCATGCCACGCCCCCTGCCTCAGTGGCCCCCTGTTCACCGCAGCAATCGAACCCAGGGAAACCAAAAGAAATTGCATGTTCAACGGCCAAAGGGAGAGAGTAACCCAAAAAAGAAAACAGAACTTTGAAAAACAAAAGTTTTCGAGTCGAACAAAAGTTTTCGAGTCGAGTCGGCTTTGTAGCCTTCTGAGTGCATAATTTCGGATTTATTTATGTTTCAGTTTAGCTTTTCGTTATTTTTTATGTTTCCCCCCAACGCTGGGCTTTACACAGAACAAAAAACTTTTCAAAACATTACCAGAACAAAACTTCAAATTATTACCTTATTCAACTAAAGAGGTTTATAAAAAAAGTAAGTATTTATCTTTTATAGCCATTTCTTTCAGTGTTGCGGCCTTTGCTTCCTGGGGCACGCAAAATGTGTTTTAAATTAAAGACACAATTTTCGTTGAAATATTTTTCGATTTATGCACATTCGCTTAAACGCTGACAGTCCGCCAGACAAGCCATAAATATTTGGCGCCAAGTGGCAATTCAGCTTTAACATGGCAGTCGTCCTGTCTCTGGACCTTAAAAATTTAAAGCGATTTGCGGTTTTGGGTTTTTAAATCTGTAGTAATGACATTTTTGCCGCCAAAGGGCTTCTATTTCCGGGAATTTAAAAAGGGCGCGCGCGCCAACTCAGCTCCAATCAGACTCCGATTCAATAGCAATCTTAACCTTAAATAACTGCAGAAATACTCACTCAAGCCTCTGCACATTCCTGGAATGGCCTCAAACACCTAGAAACTCCAAATTCTTACGTAATGCACCTGAATGGAGCACTCCGGCTTATAAACGTTGTGCTAAACAGGGCATTTAGCTTGTTAGCGTCGAGAATTATGTGACAACTCTATATTGGCTGCGGGCCTCGCCGGGCGCCCAGGGAGGTCCCACCCGCTCCTCCTAACTTGGCCAAGACCGGCGATAAATATTCAAGTGTAAATGGATACGGTCAAGGAGTGTGGGGAGTCAGTGTTGCCTTAATGGCGGTTTCAAAGCTGAATCAGCTATAATCAAGTACTATTTTTCATTATTTTTTAAGGATATTTTTATAAACTAACCATGCTCCTAATATTTTTAATTTAAAGCCTAAGGCTACGTGTTAAAAAAAAGATTTATAGTAATCCATTGCCAACACTGTCGCCAAGTCACCAACTAATAAAGGACAGAGGACAGGCGGACGGGCTTATAGACACAGATGCCGCCGCCGACGCTTTATTAGCCAGACTTTCTTGGCCTTTTTCTGATTTCTGTTGTTGTTGTTGTTGCTGCTGTTGTTATGGCCCGCCAGAGCGCGCGCCGCAAATGCGTTGCCATAAATTGTAAGCTTTGGCGCGGCGACTCTGGGAATGTCTATGAAGACGTTTACCGGCAACGCGGCGGCTCCACTAATGAAGATCAACGAGTCGGGCTGCGGTTCAGACTGCAGGTGGGTGGCTCAGCTCCCCCCAAGTAGCCCACGAAACGAACGCATTTCTATGCACATCGCACGAATATTTCATAAATTTCATTCAATTTTTATTAAACCCAAGAAATATGAGCCATTGGAAGATGGTGCTGGGCCCGAGCCTGGGCCTGGGTTGGCAAAAGGAAAAAAAAGAGGACGTGGCAAATCCTGCACCGGAAATCCTCTCATTACGCCAGACTTGTAATTAATCTTTGGGAAATTAAAAGCGAAGCGAAAAAAAGATAACAAGGGAATTTAGGAAAAACGCTGAAAACTTCTAGCCCATCGAGCGGGTTGTGTGCACCTGTTACACGCCCATCATTATAAATATTTTTTTTTTGCTTTTTTTTTGGGATGGATCTCGATCCGGTAGGGATTCTAAGGTCAGTCGGAAAGGTTCAGGTTTAGGATGTCTGCGATTTGTTGTGCTCGGTAAATATTTGCAAATGAGTTCGAAATTAAGCCGGTTTGCTGATTTTCTCCGGTTCTAAACGGTCTAATTAATTTTTCCCTTTCAAAAGGATGGTGGGGGACATTAATACTTGGAATTTGGAATTATTTTACCAATATTTAAGAAGAGATATTAACCCCAAGAAGTCTAAAGCCTTACTTGAAAGATTCGGGACCATTTTTAACTAGAAATTGGGGAAAAAGAAAAGCTGTAACAATAAGACTGTAAGGATACTTCTTTAACTAATTAATAAGACAATGAGAAGTATCCTTTAAAGAGGGTATTGCTATGGTCGCCTATGGGTTTACGCCTCTCCTACCCATTTGTTATTTATGGCCGGACTGAAGGCAGTCGCCAGCTGACATCTTTGGAGCGGACAACAAATCCTGGAGACAGGCTGACAGAAGCTGGCTGCCGCAGAGATTGAATGGCCAGAAAGGACGTCGGACGGGCGCCCATAAATTTTTATAATTTCCATCTTTTTTTCTGCCATTTTTTTTTCCAAGACCAAGACGGGATGGCCGGCTTTTGGATGTCAGCTCAAGTCGGGCCAATGCCAAGCTGTGTAAGTCGGGCCCGGGACTCAGACTGCCAGCTGCGTCTTTGGTTTCCATTCTCATCGGTTTGTTTTTCCTTTTTTTTTTGTTGCTCTTAATTTTTTGTCTCCTTTTTTTATGTTTTATTTTGTATTTTTTAACGCCTAAGCCGAAGGGGGGGGAGCGAGCTGGGGCGACACTTGAGTGACGCCTTGACTGGCGCCATCTAGCGAATGCCGGCTGCGCGTGCATAACTTGCGTTTCATTATAATGAGATTATCCCTTTTGCTTGTACAATGCCACTTTCCCGCCAGCCCCACCCCTCCGCCCACTTTCTCCGGAGTGGCACATTTCCATCTTCGGCTCAAGAACTGCAACAGCTGTTTGTGTTTTCTTATTTAAATTATTTCTTTCCCTTTTGACGGCTCTTGTTATTCGGAATTCCTTATTCCTTATCCTCTGCCAGTGTCCTGTTCCAGGCTGCCCGGCCACTGCAGGACGACGACAGGATTATTTGGATTGGGATTTGGGTCTTATTTAACTTGGGCAAATAGCTTTTCCCGTGGGTAACTAATTGGAAGCGAGATGAAGGAAGTGAACTCGAGCGGTTTCGGTGGGAAAAGGTATTTAAAAGACAGTGTTTCTATTTTTAAAAGCTTATGAGTTAGCTCTCGCTTTGCCCAGCCATCAGATGGGTTATCTATTATAAACCGATAAAAGACCACCTTCGAGGCATAACTCCGAAATTCATTTAACATGTTCGAGCCCCGAATTATGCAAAAATGTGTGAGACACGCTGGAAAAACATCGATTGACATGCGCCCGTTGTACGTTCATTTGTCAATTTGTGTTATTTTCTCCAATCATATTGAATATTTAATAAGACTGGGTCACGGCAAGGCCAAGCCCCAGGCCCAAAGCCCAATGCCTACATGCTCATGTCGGAAAACCAATTAGAGCCGCGTCTGGCGTTGCCTAAGCCCCAGCCACAATAACGCTAACAACACACATCAGCCAACAAGATCAAATCGTGTAATAGGCCTCATTACAACATCATTTTATAAATAAAATGTTTGTAGAGCTGGAAAAAGGTGTGAATGGTGCGGTTAAGAGCCACATGATCTCAGATGCTCACACCCCCGATATCTTTCAAAAAAATATTATATTTTCTATTCAAAAACTAGCTTTGAAGCCTATACTTTCAGATTTAATGGCAGTATTCTCTCTTTGATACCACTACTGGCAGGTCGTCCGAAATTTTTGGGGAAAATTTAGAAAGAGGGACAGTTAAATAATGAAACTACTTCGCACCTAGCCTATCTGAGACATTACACTAACGCTTCTCGTGGGGCTGGTGGTGGTGGTGCCGCTTCGGCTGAGGATCGTAGTTGAGGACATCGAATGTCAGGATCTTGTAGAACGACACCGTCCAGCCCGCGTCATCCATGCGGGGCATAATGCGTCCCGTGAAGGGCAGGGCCGCCATGCCTGGGTTCTTCGCAGATTTTATCTGTTCGATGAACTGCTGGCTGGGCTGGGGAGGGGATATGTTATGGGCGTTGGCCAGCGGGGGTCCGGCGCGCGAGGGCGGGCTGTTGAAGGGGAAGGGCTGGCCCGGGTGATTCCTGGCGGACCGCCGCGCGTCGGCCGTGTAGTCCCGCCGGAAGCGGATGAAGATCTCTGCGAACACTATCCGGTGCGGCACGGCCACTACGTCCGCTGGCGTCTTCAGCTCGTTGTCCATCCGGCGAATTATATCGTTGACCTCCACGACCTCGGTGGCAGTGTCAAAGTCCTTAGTGTTCCGCAGACCCACAAACAGCATGTCGATGAAGGCGTACTTCCGGCCAAAGTTCTGGCGCGTGGCCACCTTCATGGGGATGGCGCGGCGCAGGTGCTCCGGCTGGAACCGGACCAGCTTGAGCCGGGTGTCGTTCCGCGAGAGCAGCATGTCCCGGGTGATCTGCTGGAAGCCCACGGGGGTGGTGAACTCGCTGATCTTCTCGGCACTCTGCTGCCGGATTATGTCCGTCATCACAATGGCCGCTTGCTTGGCCCCCTCGACAAAGTCCGGCTCGCTGAATTCCCGGTCCCACAGCAATTTGAGCTTCCACAAATTAAACTTGGTCACCAGATACTTCCACGGATTGTGCAGATACACCAGCTTCGGAATTATCTTCCTCCGCTGCTCGTGAGCGGCGCTCTGGCGATCCCAGTCGTGGAGTGACCGGTGGCGCCGGATTGCAGGATCGCCGGAGAACGTCGGAGGACCATGGTGGTGGTGGTGGTAATGGTGGTTGCCGACCAGGTGGCTTAGTGTGGCATATTTACGTAGAATTTTAACTAGCATTGCGACTCCTGAAGAAGGACACTTTTCATTTTTGACTTCAAATCGTCGTCTATGCCCCGAACGAAATATTTACGAGAGTTGTGTCTCCAAACGAAAAATCAATATTAAAACCTGGAATTTTGACAACCATGGACGAACCTAACACAAACTACACAGCCTGATTGTTCTTAAAAAAATAAAATACTGTAAGGGGGGGGGGGCTCAACGATTTCCATTTCTATGATTGGCACGTCAACCTGTTGGAGATGTTGCCTTTGCCCTTCAGAGTCGCGTCAGCGGGGAAATTTATAGTCGTAGTCAGAGTTGAAATCGCTTTTCGGAGGAGGAGCCGTCCCACGCGGAATTTGGATGCCAGGTAGCACCTCGGAGCTAGCAAATGACTTGCCAAGATCGTAAAGCATTATTCCGCCGATACATAAATTATACTCGGACGTGCGTGAGTGTGTGAGGGCCGTGTGGGCTCTTCTTGGACTTTTTCCCATTTCCCCCAGCTCTTGGCCAAGTGGCTCTTACACTGCCCCCTCTGGGGCTCCAAACGACATAAAAATTAACAATGAAACCGATGGAGAGGAGAATCGACATGAAAAGCTCCAATGCAATTGTTGCGCTCCGCGGGAAGATGTGTATTTAAATGGCGCGTCGAATTCAATTATGTGTGAAGGTATTTAATGGAAAATTAAACAGAAGTTATGGCAGAGATGCGATGTGATTTAAATTCGATTAAGAGTCACTCTTAGGTGAAATCAAAACAAGTATTACCCAAGAAATAAGACACCCATTATTGGAAAATATTGTAGTGCGGGTGTGTGGCTTGAAACTTGATACAGAGTAGGCTCCGTCTCCCAGACCATTCTAACGCTTTCGGTTTATCAATTCGATATCCCCCAAGTGGCAGAGGGCAGGGGCAGGCTGGTACAGTCCCTCCCAGTTGACACAATATGCGTGGTCGTCATGGGGCATGACAGTGCAGGAAAACTCAATAAAAAGATTCCCAAGGTGGAAAGATATAATCATTTCTTGTGGACCGCTTGGCAGCAGTAGAAGAAGCAACAGTAGATACAAAGATAGTGGGCAGTTGGGGGAAACTCAGATTCAAATTCAAATGAAAATAAGTAATTCATTTCGATGCGGTTTCTCGACCTCTGCTGGCATCGTTTATCTTGTTGCTCATTAAATCATTCAGCTGTCAATCAACTCTTGGTTGCGGTTGTCTCGAGACTCGAGTCGAGTCGAGTCTTGGAAGTGAATTCCGGGCTTTGTTTTTCCTTCCAGACGTTGCATTGTGGAGGTGACCGACCACAGTTGTCGAGATAATTATATAGCCATTCGTAATGGTTCTAAACGGTAAATGCTTTGTGGATCTATTAGAAGTGGCTTGGATCGGATAGAGTGATTGATAGATTAGTTGGATTACTTTCAGAATTCATATCCCTGTTTGGAGAATACTCTTATGGGCATACATATTTTTGCATCTCTGGGATACAGCCCAGCGATCGACAGAGTTTTAAGTTTCGCTCCAAATGCTTGTTGTTGAACTCGCAATCAAACACAAAGACCTCCAGATACAGATATCGTTTGCATAAGCGCAAGTATCTGCTCGATTTCCATATCTTTGTGAGCCCAGTTCGGTGGTGGGGCTCTCGTTGTCTCGTTGTCCCGCTGTCGTACCTGTCAGTCGATTCAGGTTAAATCAATCATACACAAAGACCGAGGAACGGAGACCTGTCAACACGGTTCATTGTTTGGCTCGCCAGCCGCAGAGCGGCATTTAATGAAAAAGACCCACCGACCGAGCAAGGGGCTACCCCCTCCATCATCCCGCATTTATGGCCAGCCACACTATATAGCTATATAACTATCCTATCGCATCCAATCCTATCCGCGGGCCAGAGAGCATAGTTTGTAAATTTATGCGCGTATCTCACAAATACTTCGTGCAGTTATTTGCATTTTCCACTGAGCTCTGGGCATAGCTATGGCTGGGCTCTAACTATTGTCTCGGCGCATACACCATATACATATTTCACATACGGGTGGTCATTTAGCATATTTTGATATTGAGATTTATTGACAAGATTGGAGCGTGGCAGGCAGCAGCTTTGTCGGCACCAGAGCGGAAATGTTTCCGCCCCCGCCTCGCTGGCCGGCTCAATTATGTCCAAACGTCCACTTCCCTACTCCAAATTAATTGAGTTTGTAGCCGAAATTCGGATCGGGTTTCACACCGCCTGTCGTTTAGGCAGCTCCACCACAGAAACTGCACAAAACGACCAGAAATCAAAGCAAGAGCGTGCCACTGGAACAATGCCAAGTCCAGTTTCGGTCAAGAATAGAGTGGCGTGCACTTAAGGAAAGCCACTAGTAGCCCCATGATTATGTCTTCTAATCTATTTGCGTTTCGAAACCCTCTTCTCCCTGTGTAGTCAAAGAATACATTTCTGTTTGGAAACCTTGCAAAGTGCAAAAGCGGAATGTGGTCGCGTCGTTGTAATGCGATACAATACCTCCAGAGAGATCGTGAGGAATTGCTCATGATTTCCATGTACACTTCTAGGGTTTCCAAGCTGTCACTCCACTCTGCGGTGGGCTCTTCGCGCCGCGAGTTGCAAATTTCAATTTCCAAGCGTTCAGTTTGTACAATTTGTCTGGCAAATCGATCGCCACTGCGGTGAATGCGGAAACAGAGAATCCCATTCGAAACCGCCTGTCGATCAGGCAGGTTGGGGTCAGGTCTTTTCCTTTCGGTAATCGAATACCTTCACGCATTCCCTGCGAGATCCTGTGCCCTGATTGCTGTGCTCACTGAGTCACTTAGAATTCCTCCAACTCTTCTAATTTGTCAAGACAACACCGAGTGCGGAGTCACGTGATCTGCCTGCATTATGGCCACTTAATTTGGGGTTTACGGAGGGGGCCTGAAAGAGGAGGGGGTCCCAGAAGACAACCTGTCAGCCGCTGACACTTCACTTGTCGCCTGGCCTGATATGTGGGTCTCCGAAGTGATGGAACTGTCGCCGCTTCCAAGAACTGTCTACGGACTTTGCACCGCCTCCTCCCATCCCAGGCTGTCCTAGGCGATCCGATCCATTTGAAAACTGGGCGATTCGATTAATTTATGGCCTCGGATTCGAGGGCTTTCCGATTCAGTTTGCGTTCCAGCCATTGAGTGCCACCCAAAGCACGTCAGGGAAAACCCCAAATTGGTTGAGAAGACAACGAATACTCGATGCTCTATAAGAACCACCTTAAAGCTATATTTCTTCTTTTAAAAATAGAGTAAAGAAAATTAGGGTAAGGAAACATTTAAATTGGTGGGCGGTCTAGGCAGCTACGAGTGTATAATGCCAATGGTATCAATTTGGGACTCCGTGGGACTCTCCCACGTTATTAGAACATCTTCGGGGCTGCCATAATTTACAATGCGGACGAATTTCAGCTGCATTACCCACTAACCCAGATAGAATTCCAAGGGAAAGACATCAAAGCACAGCCAGAAAAGCAAAGTTCAGACAACAGGGAGATTTGCGGCACATATAGAGGACAGAATGAGTCGTACAAGTACACTAATATATACATATATCAGCGCAGAGAGCAGGAAAATAAGTCCCGAGCACCAGACCACGAGAGGATGTAAACAAAGGCCAGAACTGCCAGAAACTCGCTGCTGACAGTAGCCAAAAAAATATGTCATAAAGAGATAAGGTCTGCATCAATATTGACTCAGTCAACACGGGTGGTAGCTCGCTTTGTGGACTCGAGATGGAAAGGGATGGAGGTGGATTGCCCTTTTGCCCACCTGCTGGAAGACCTGCTGGAAGATGTGACATTGCAGTACAGTTTTCAGAGGGGTTTATTAGGAACACTTTCCTAGAAACAGGGCTTAGTTTTTGATCCACTTTCTTCGCTGGAAAACTATTCCCGCAGGGAGTTGGGATGTGGTGGGCGAGTTCCCTGACATTCTTCGGTTAAACTGTGCTACTTATTTGCACCCCCAACTGCCGCCAAAGGAGTGGGGCGAAAAATTCACGAAATTCCTTTATCGTTTGATAAATATTTATGTACTTTCAGTAGTGCCTGGCTGTCTCCCAAGAGCCCCCAAAATTCAACACGCGCATAACCAATGAGTGAGGGCGCTGCGGCTGCCGAAATACTAAAAATTTGACCCAATTTCGCAGAGGTTATTACTCTGTAGACCCCGGAGGTCCTTGGGGATAATCTTCCCCGCCCAGTCGCTAAATCCTCGCTAAATTATTCAATTTGTCGTGTGTTGTACTGCGCCTTGTTTAGCGAAAATAGCATTACATTCATCATTAGATGCACAGAAACCCCATCCTGGCAATATTAGCTAGCTTTGTGAATGTATCTAAAGCCCAGAGCATCGATTGTTTTCCCAGTGTAGGTATACCCTGTGACCTGTTTCATTTAGTTGTCACAATCTGTTGCAATTGCGCTAATTGCAATCCATTATTCAAAGCCCGCCGTGTTAACTCACTTTCGCAATAATTTTCACTCAATCCACCCGAAAAAGAAACCAGCACCACGGCCATGGGCTGACAGAATGTCGAACATAATATCCGCAGGATATCGCTTGTTGATTTCGCTTGAGACTTTGACAATTTATTTGCGCATTTATTTTGGTCGCTGCCGGAGGCATTCCCCACCGAGTCAGCGGCACACAAACAATTGTAAACACAGACTACGGGCCCAGATATATATTTGCGAATTCATGCTCTGATATATCATCGTGTTCCCCGATGCCCGATGCCCGGACGGACAGACACATGTTTATTAATAATGGAAGCCTCTCGCATGCCCGAGTATTTGCTTATTTACACTGCGAAAAAAGGGGGTGGTGGGGAGGGCGTGTCATATATTGGATATAGAACGCCCGGGGCTGCAGCTCGTATCAAGTTCTCCTCCTGCTTTTCCCCGACACCCCACTCGAAATTCATTTCGCGTTATGCAACTCTCCTTTAGAAGCTCGAGAGCTCTCTTCCTATGAGAAGACAGCCATGAGATAGGAGGAGCTGGCGGAGAAGGCACGGCGCCAGCGTTATGAGCCATTTTAATTCCATTAAGTGCTAAAGTGCTTGGCAATACTTTTAACCAGAAATAATAAACTTCAGTCAAGCAAGCCACATTCACAATCTCTTTCAAAATAT